GTGCAAGCACGGCTTTTAATGGTAGGCCTATGTTTTTTGTTTGTTGTTGTCTCATACTTTTAGATATGGTGTTATTTGTAAATGCTACTGCTTATGTTGGCTTTATACATACGGTTTTATCCTGATTAAAGCTTTAATACAGTACGACAACTGCACGCACGTCCATGTTTAACGCTTCTCATAGCTATGTGAAAATAAGTGTATAATTGGAACAGTTCATTGTTGGAGCTGAGCTGAATGAGAGAGAGAGAGATGCAGAGCAGGGGACGCGAGGAACAGCAGGGCTTCCAAAATTTCTAAATCGCTGGTTGCCCTTCGGGCAGACATTCTTCAGATTTTGGTAGCCCGAATAAAAAAATTCAAAAAAGACATCGGCTGAACTTCACTGCAGACAAATCAGCATGATTAAAAACTTCAGTGATCGCTTTTTTTCTTCAAATAACAAGTCAAGAGAGTAGGGGTGCAACGGATCACAAAACCCACGGCTCGGATCATATTGCAATCATATCAGATTTTGAGTAACAGATCGGGTCATTTTGCAGATGAGCAAAAAAAATATGGTTCTTTATTATTTAAATAACAGAACACTTCTTTGATACCACAGCAAAAACTAATAGCATATAGGGATGTAACGATTCACTCAACACACGATACAATGAGATTCACGATACTGATTTCACAACACAATTTTCTCACAATGATGCACTTGAGATTTCTTTCTCCACTGTTTACGTTCACTTAAGACATAACTGACTGTTTTTGAGAATACTTGCCGAGACAGTTATTTTGAGATAATTTTGTATGTATGTTCAATCAGATGCAAGGATACGCGAAAGAGAAATCAATTCTGTGTATGCGCATTGTCTGAAACGCGCACCCCGCCACCCGTTATAAAAAAAAAAACAAGTGGGCTCCCCCAAAGTCCACGGTTTCGAACACTGGCTTGAAAGGTTCTATCAAGGTATTGTGTTCAGCCTCATTGAGCTGATTTGCTGTATGTAAAAGGTTAAAGGATGAGTCATGGCCGCCACAATTTTTCTACCTTCATTTGTCTGGAATTAATGTTCTAGTGCACTTAAAACAGCAAAATTGTCAGCCTCTCGTATGTCATGGCATTGATGCTGTGACTAGAAAAGTGGAGAGCCATACATATGTCACATCCA